CCCCCCCCCCTTTCATAACAGGATTAAGTAATTTTAACGTCACACATGTTGCCATGGATACTGTAAATCATTGTTATGCGAGGCTTCTCAGTTGGAGGAATTTACATCCAGAAAGGCTGCTTATTTCCAGGGAAACTTTCCCCCCACCCCTTTTCTCATTGGCAAGATGAGATGTTTTGACTTGGGGCTTCGTAACCCCCTGCAGACTGTTTCTGGATTAACTGGTGATTTGGGCCAGAATGGAAAACAGAACGCGCACGTGTTAAGTTCTGCTGGCATCATCACATTCTTCACCCCTCCACCCTTTACTGGGTTTGAATCCTGCTTGCAGATCCAGCCAGCTGGATTCAAACCTGTAATGCATTTCGAAATGCCTCTGGAGTGGCTGATCAGTGCCTGGGGATTGCAGTCATCTGGCCACTAAACTGGGGTTCAGTTCCAACAAGAGGGAGATACAGTTAGTGGGTGGTCCATCTGCTCCGGTAAGTGGTGGTCCAACTTTTTTGGAGGCTGTTGCAGATTCCTTCACTCCCTGGGGAAGGGCAAGCACTTGGAGGGAGAACATTGGCATGCATGCAAAGGTCCCAGGCTCAATTCCTGGCATCTACTGGGAAGGCTAGAAATATTCCTGCCTGAAACCCTGGAGAGCCACCCTGTCAATGCTGCCGGTACAGAGCTAGATGGACCAAAGGTCCATCTTCAGTATCATGCATCTTCCTGGCTTCCCATGTGCCCTTTTCCCTTATGCTAAAAGTGTTTCTGATTACCCATGTCATTGAGTAATAGGGAACAGGCCATAAGTAAGGCTGGTACTGGCTTTTGTTAATGAGGGGAAAACCTTCAGGTGCTTGGACTTGTGGCAACTCATGTTCTTGCTGTCAGGGCTGGCTCCAAGTTTTCGGGTCTCTGGGCACGCTTCCTCAGTGGGACCCACACTGCTGGATGCTTTACTGTTTCTGGCAGAAGCAGTTCTTTTTCCTCCTCCTAATTCAGAGAGGCAGCAATAGCAGGGGGTCACTCTGGCAGGAAGAAGAAAGCTGTTGCCTGCAAGAAGGGTAGCCGTCTGAATGAGTGCGATGAGGCATTGCTGAGAGAGCAGGTATCCTGACTGAGGACAGACTGGGGGAGCCATGGGCTGAGGGCAAGCTGACTCATTGTTTCATTTGTTTTACTACATTTACAGTGCCTTGCAAAAGTATTCACCCCCTCCCCTCTCCTCCCCTCCGACTTTTCCATATCTGGTTGTGTTACAACCTGGAATTGAAAGGGATTTAAATGGCATTGTTGTGCAAGATATTAAACTATCAAGGTGACACATATTTTAATTGGGATGCTAAAGCTAAGTAAACAAAAATCAATTGATGCTTGTTGGCTGCATAAGTATTCATCTAACCCCAGAGTCAATACTTGGCAGAAGGACCTTTGGCAAAGTACAGCTGTAAGCTTTCTTGGGTAAGTCTGTATCATCCTTGCACATCTGACTCCTGCAATGTTTGCTCATTCTTCCTGGCAAAACTGCACTGTCTCTTCCAGGTCAGATGGGCACTGTTGGTGAACAGCAACTTTCAACTCTGAACTCTGTGGTTTGATTGCCACATTCCAAAGCATTCTGGTTCTTCCTTTTAAAGTACTCCAGTGTCACTATCGCTGAGGATTTAGGGCCATTTTCTTGCTGGAAGAGGAAGTTCCACACTACTGCTAGGTTCCTTGAAGACTCGAACTGGCCTGTATCTGACACCATCCATCTGGTCCTCAGTCCTGCCCTTCATCCACCTTGCCTTTAGCCCCTGCTGCACCAAAAAAAAAAACCCAACAAAAAACCCACAACATGATGATGGTGCCGCCACATGCTTCACCATGGGGAAATTATTCTCAGGGCACTGAGCACTGTTGGCTTTGCAATGCATGTAGTATTATGCAGCAAAGGCAAAAAGTTGATTTAGTCTCATTCGACCAGAGAATCTTTTCTTCCATGTGGCTGCTGGGTTCTTCCACATGTATTTTTGCAAACACCAAACAGCCATGGATATAGGTTTGTTTTGGCAATGGCTTTCTTCTTGCAACCTTCCATAAAGCTCAGCTTTGTGGATCATCTGGGTGATAGCTGCCCCATGAACAGTTTCTCCATCTTAGCTGCAGATCACTGCAGCTCCTTCAGAGCTACAGTTTATTTTGTTTGTTTGTTTAAAGTTTTTATATGCCGTCCCCTTGCTACATAGCCTCGGGACGGCTCACAAAAGTAACAAATAAAACAATAACAATTACAATTAAAATCTGGAAACACACTGGCTGCTCAATTAAAATATATAAATATTAAACATGATTAAAATACTGTTTGAATAAAAAGGTCTTGGCCTGGTGCCAAAAAACAAATAAAGACAGCGCCAGGCAGACCTCTCTGGGGAGTGCATTCCACAGATGGGGCGCCACCGCAGAGAAAGCCCTCCTCCAGGTACTTTGCCTCCTGACATCTCTCACGGAAGGCTCCCGGAGGAGAGCCTCTGCTGCCGATCTCAAGGGGCGGGAGTTGGCCTTTTAGTTGCTTCTCTGACTAGAGCCCTCTTTATCCACTCACTAAGTTTAGGTGGATGGTCTTCTCTAGGCAGAGTCAGGCTTGAGCCATATTCTATCCATTTTGTAATAATGAATTTAACAGTGTTCTGGAAATATTGATAATTTGGGATGGGGAGGTGTATCAGCCCAACCCTTCTTGATGCTTTTGTACATTTGATAGATTCTTGGTCTTCATGATGCTCTTTGCTTTAATATGCCCTCCAGGGACATAAAACTGTGGGACATCCCAGAATCAGGTGTCTCTGGTATGAGATCATATGGTACTGGAATTGCCCCCAGATGGACTTCTTCAACTACTTACCTGACTTCTGAAGGCAGTCACAGCAAAAGGGGGTGGATACTTATGCAAATAACAAGTGCCAGTTTGTCTTTTCTGTACTTCTGTGCCAAAATAAAAGTATTTTACATCTTCACCATGTGGCATATCTGGTGTACATTAAAAGGTAACAATGCTGACTCAAATAGCACTGGCTTAATGCTGCTCCTTTCCTTATCTCATTGAGGACTTGCCTCCCAAGAGGTATTTTTCACCTCTCTAATTGACAGGTGGTCATAAAAACTTTTCATCTACTGCTCTGATAATAATGAGAAGGCGAGATAAAGGTAAACTCGAATGAGTCCAGAGTCTTGCCCCTCCCCACATATACTCTCTCTCTCTCTCTCTTGTTTTCCTTTCCTCTTTTTTGCCTTTTCTATTTATTATTCTGTTTTGTCAATTCCAGATTATACCAAAACAAAATGTGAAATAGCCAAAAGGAGTGAATGTTTCTGCAAGGCGCTGTACATCCTGCCTTTCCTCTAGAGCAGTGGTTGTCAACCTTTTCATAGCTGGGGACTGGCAAAAGCAGGAAAACTATCTCAGAGCCATTGAGGCAGAAACAAAAAGTGCCATACACATAATACAGTATACTGTGCAGTAGTTTTCAAACACAATACCAAAAAAATGAAATTCTCCAAAACAACCAGAAACCAAACAACAAAAACATGCCAACAAATAACAAAATGCTGAAATTGGTGCAGTGTGGCGCTCACCAAGCCGTCTCTCCCCTGCCTGCCCCCACAGTGGCAGAGACACCCCCCCCCCATGAACGCGATGCCAACTGAGGAGGAGGAGGTAGAGCACAGCCAGCCCCCACGGCAGTCCACTGCAAGCATCCTCCATGGACCAGCAGGAAATCTCCCACGAACCGGCACCAGTCTGCAGGCCTGAGCTTGAAAGCCACCGCTCTAGAGAGCTCAGTGTGCCTCGTTCTTCCCCTTATACTTTATCCTCACAAATACCCTGTCAGGTAGGCGAGGCTTTATGAGTGTGTGTATGAATGGATGTTGCCCAAGGTCATGGAAGGACTTTTATAATGACTCAGTTAGAATTTGGCCCTGGGTATTTCTAGCCCTATTGCAGAACTCTAAGCACTACTTACTGGCTGTGAAATCAGTAGTTTACTTTTGGATATCTGGAAGGAGTCCTCAGGCAAGCTGCCTCCCCGCCCCCCATCCTTGAGAACCATTCACACACACTAGTGCCTAGTGCAGGGGAGGAGGGAATTTTCATTGGCTTAGCAGATCAATACCTCTTTCCAGTTACATCAAACCTCATCATAATGCCATCTAAGATTACTAATTGTATGATGGAGTGCAAGGAGAATTTACCTCTATATTAAAAATTGCTGAACCCTCCTTCATCCTTAGCAATACCAAAGCAGTTTACAAAAGGGAGTCTCAAATGAAACAATGAATAGCCTATAATAATGCAAAACAATCGAAACAACAGAGTTAAATAAATCTTAGAACAATTGAAGTAACGGCTATCATGCCATCCTCTCTCTGTTATTCTGCCTGCTTCTGTCTAGAGATCTGCCTCTTGTCTTTTTGACTTACAGCTGATATAGGATTCTTGCCAGTATATGAGCCTACAATATTTTTTAAAAACATGACATTCATTTTGTTTTGAATGTAAGAAAAACATACCGTATTGAGATCACTTAAATAAACAGTATGGCTATCGGATACCTACATTAAAACAGTGTCAGTAGGAGCTCAATACCTACTGAAAGAGTTAAACTAATTTCTACAGCAAATTTGTGCAATTCTTTGCATGTGTGTGCATTATCAGGAACAATATCGCCCATTGTATTTGGTTGTTATATAATCACAATTTTAAAGGCTCATCATAGGAAATAGATGGAAGGCCTGGTGCCATGATACCTTCCGTAAAGTTAGGTTTTCTTATACACAATCATAGTCTCAGATGTTGGCAACCCACTGCTCTTAGTTGGTGTCTTTGAAGACTTCTGACTTTGCCACTGTATACAATGGCTTAAGAGGGTTTTTATGCAGGAATCTAGAATCATTGAGTTGAAAAAAATGAAAAAGCATCACTTTCAAGGGTTACCAATGGTTTAACATGAAGTATTCTTTCTTTCCAGCTCTGACTTTGTGGCACCATGGCTACAAGTGCGGTTCCCAGTGAGAACCTTCCCACATATAAGCTGGTTGTTGTTGGAGATGGAGGTGTGGGAAAGAGTGCCCTCACCATTCAGTTTTTCCAGAAGATCTTCGTGCCAGACTATGACCCCACTATTGAAGATTCCTATCTGAAGCACACAGAAATAGATGGACAATGGGCAATTCTGGATGGTAAGCACCTATTCTAATTTGATTGTCTTTTCATCTGATGGTGCACAACCCTTGTGTGTAGTTTGCATATATCTTATTCTCAAAACTCTCAGAAGAATTCTTAGAATCACTATTATCCTTGAGAAATCATGGAGGATGGGGGAGATGACTGGAGAAGGGCTAATGTTGTCCCTATCTTCAAGAAAGGAGAAAAGAAGAACCTGGGAACTACTGGCGAGTCAGTCTGACATCAATCCCTGAAAAATTGTGGAGCAGGTTATAAAGTTGTCAGTCTTGCAAACACCTTGAAAACAATGCCGTGAGTACAAGAAACAAACATGGATTTCTCAAGAACAAATCCTGTCATACTGATCTGATTTCATTATTTGATTTGGCAGCCAACCTGATTAACTGTGGGAATGCTGTGGACATAATCTATCTTGACTTTTACAGCTTTTGACAAATTGTCCCACAACATCCCGATTAGCATAATAGCAAAAAGTGGGCTAGATAAAACAACCGTTGGGTGGATCCACAATTGGCTACAGAATTGGACTCAATGGCACCTTCTCAAACTGGGGAGAGGTAACAAATGGTATGTTGCAAGGTTCTGTCCTGGGCCCAGTACTCTTCAACATTTTGATTACTGATTTAGGTGAGGAAGTGCAGGTAATTAAATTTGCAGATGACATAAAACTGGGTGGAATAACCAGTATCTTGGAAGACAGGGAAAAGATTCAGGGTGATCTTGATAGGTTAAAACACTGGGCTGAGAATAACAGAACAAAATTCAATAGGGAGAAATGCCAAGTCTTCCTCTTAGTTGAAAAAATGAAATGCCTCACTACAAATTGGGGACTACTTGGCTCAACAGTACTGCAAAAGAGAAGGATCTTGGAGTTGAAGGATCTTTTAGATCACAAGCTAAATGTAAGTCGGAAATGTGCTGTAGCTGCAAAAAAGACAAACACTATTTTAGGATGCATTAATAGAAGAATCACTTCTATTTAGAAATATCATTTCTAAAATCCCATGGAGTCCTAATTCCCCTATACTCAGCACTGCTCAGACCTCTTCTGAGTAACTTGGTGTCCTGCACTATCAGGGGTTGGACCTAATGGCCTTCTTGGCCCCTTCCAAGTCTACTGTTCTATGAATCTATTCTTATCCATGAATGTATATACTGTATCTCAGAACAGAGCAAATGTAGTAGGAAATTGAGGGGACTTACTTTGTTCTGCTCTTGCTCCATCTGGAGGAGCCTTGTAAATAAGCCCACAAAAGTGACTAGCCTGATAGTGACTGCCAGAGGTAGGGTGAAGAACCCTTTCTCGGCTTGTAGCAGCCCACATTGCACCACACTCACAAGCATGTTTGTTTCTGCTTTCACGTGTTTAAATAATTAAACTGAGGTCAACCCTGAAGGCTGTGGCTCAAATTATAAGGCTTTTTGAGTATGCCTGTTTTCTAAGAACATGTGGATTTGGAAGGCATTTCTTTGGTTCTGAAAATGAATGACTCAAGGGTTTATCCTTTCTTGTTATCGGAAGTGATTCTATCAAAGGCGGGTGCCATGTGTAAACCATGGATTATTATTCTGTGGATGTTTTATGAGACTCACCACCACTTCTTCTGCACACACCTGTTTTCATCACTTCCCTGCGGAGGTTAGCATGTCCAGTTCCTAATGAGTGAGAAGCATTCGTACACATGTAAAGCAAATGCAGACACAGCTGGAATCCGAGCATGACGCTAGCTGCACAAATTTGCTTCACTTTAGCTTTAAGCAGGTTTGAGCAGACGATTCAGTTTAATGCCGGTTGTCTACCATCACTGCCATGACTACCACCTTTGCATCTGATGCTCTCAGATGGGGCTTTAACTTGATTTTTAGCATTGTGATTAGTTAAAGTCATCTCGCACAGTTCTGAGTCTGGAGCCAAAGTTAAATGCTTTAGCAAGGCAAGAGTTACAGAACTCTCTTTAGCTGCTTGCTTTGCTGGAAGACAGAAAAGAGAAACTGGTACTGGAGGTACAGAAGGGGAAGGAAGACGATTGTTTTTAAGCTGTGGAAAGACTTGTGACATAAGCATTAACCATGAAGTGGTTTGTCCTATCAGACTATCCACTGAGCACCTATGAATGTAGAGATTGAACACTAAATCTACTTAACTGGAAACAAAATCCCATAAAAATCAACAGGATTTGGTTTGGATCAAGTACTGTGCTATGAAACTATAATCATGAGAGATATGTATGTTTTTGCTGCCCTAAATTTACATGGTGAGTCCTCTGGAAATTAAATGCCAGTTTGTTAATGCTCATGTATTCACTGCAGAAGCACAGTATGTGGATGCATATGTTACATCTACTCAGAAATAAGGTCCATGTTTTTTAGTGGTGCTTAATCCCAGATAATTATGCATATTGCCGCAGCCCAAATTCTTCCCATAAGCACTATCAGCATTTCTTGCTGTGTTTTGCTTGGCCCACCTCTGCATGCACTATTGCCTCACAATGAAATCATGCCATTTTGGCTGCCTGCTGCTGCACAAATAGCAAAAACAGCTTGGGAAGGATCTGACTTGAAGGTAAAGGGGTCAAAGAGCATCCTGGAAATCTTCAGTCTTCTGTGGTTGTCGTCACAGAGGAGCTTAGTTTACTTCTGTGTTTTGTTTTTTAAGAAAGTCAGTTTCCTCAATAAGCTATATTTCCAATTAAAACATTGCCTTTGTCCTAAAGGTCATTTTTAAAAGGAAGATTATTGCTTTGTGATTGTTGCAAGGAGAGTCTGGCTTAACAAAAGTGATGGTTGCTTCATAGCAAGGTCAGACTGAAACATTTCAATGCTTAGTGCCAGCCTCCCTTTCACTAGTTAACATGAAGCCATCTGGACTTCCTCCTGCTCTTGCATAGTTCTTTTTTTTCTTTCAATGTGCTTTTGCAAGGGAAATTGGCACTATGGCCTTGCTTTGTGGCTACTACCACCAAAAATCAATACTTCACAGGGAAGAGGGATCATTTTGAACCTTCATATTTACTTTAACCTGAAAACAAATTTAATTTTTCCCATACTGTCTCCTTAAAGAGAAAAGAAGGGCTGATTTCTTCCCTGAAATTGTAGAAGCTGGTTAGACCTTGCCAAAAAGGGGGAGATCTGTCTCACCAAAGAAGTTGACAGGAGTAGGCACCAATATGTACGATATCTGCATGTGCAAATTTCTAGGTGCAAATTTAGAAAGAATATAGTTTAAACTTCTCACCAGAGAAGACTGACCAGAGGACCTGAGGACCTGCTTTAGGGGATGAGCAACTTCTGGACCTGCTGTGGTACATTTTTACAGCTTGATTTTGAATCAGACTTGAGCTGGACAGACCATTATGGAAAGAACACTTTCAAATGAAAGTCATTCCTCTGCTAGCTGTCCAAAACAGAGGGCTATCTCAATTTTATGTGAGCCGTCCCGAGGCTATAAGCAATGGGATGGCATACAAAAATTCTAAATAAATAATAAATAAATAAATAAATAAATAATCTTCTGTAAAGTCTGACATCTGGCTAAATGGAACATCCTAAATCTTCTAGGATGTTCCATGTCTTCTAAATACGCCAGGCTTATCCTTTGGAATGCTGTTGCATTGGGAAAAGAAATTGATTGGGTTTTAATATCTTCATAAGGTTTTAATATCTCCATATATGCCCAGCCGCCCCTTGAGATCGGCGGGGGAGGCCCTTCTCCGGGAACCCTCTGTGAAAGAAATTAGGAGGGTGGGTACTCAGAGGAGGGCTTTCTTTGCGGTGGCACCTAAGTTATGGAACGCGCTCCCCAGGGAGGTCCACCTGGCGCCGTCATTATTTGTTTTTCGGCGCCAGGCGAAGACCTTTTTATTCAAGCGGCATTTTAACTGTTAATATTATTGGATTTTATCTGGCCAGGGCGGCTTATTTTATACTGTATTTTTGTATCTTAATTTAATGTTTATATTTTTGATTTATATTATAATTATTTTAACTTACTGTTGTAAGCCGCCCCGAGGCTTCAGCGAATGGGGCGGCATAAAAATGTTTTAATAAATAAATAAATAAAAATAAATAACATGCCCTATTCTGCAGCTGGTCTGATGCTCTGTGAAGAGACGACCGCTCACATTGCTGCTATAAACAGCAGCAAGTTTATTGAAGCTGTGGAACAGCCTGCCAGTGGCATTGGAATGGTTACACTGCTGCATGGAGGGGCGGACTTGAAGAAGAATAATTGCAGTGCTGTCATTTTTCTGCACAAGAAGGATGGCAGCATCCTATCTAGAGAGGCAAGATCAGCTCCAAAAACAAAAGCATGAACTCGCCCAGGAGTCGCATCTTTGATGTGGAATGTCTTACTTCCTAATCCCAGTTCCAGATGTGCAGAGGCTGACTTTGGCAGCCCAGTGCAGAGGGGAAATCTGAACCATGGCACCCCAGGCCCTCACCAGTTTAGATGGAGTGGATCTTTGCTGCAACAAGGGCTGTGACGGTAGCTCAGCGGCAGGTTACATACTTGTCATGCAGAAAGTCCCTGGGTTGAATCCTAGTCACTCCAGCTGAAAAGATAGAGTATCAAATGATGCAAAAGACTCTAATTGAGACTCTGGAGTTTTGTCCATGCAGGGAAATAATACTGGGCTGATCCACAGATAATCAAACTGGCATTACTTCAAGTACTATTGTTCTTGAGAACTTGTGACTAACTTTTGCAGGTTAAACCCAGAGTCTTGAGTGCTCTGGACAAGCTCTTAATCCTTTTCTGCAGCTCTTTCTTCCCTGCTGTCCTGAAATCCACATGTTTCTTTTGAGACAGCCATGCAGTTCTTCATTCAGGCACCAATGTAAGGTGCATCCCTGAAAAGCAGCTTGTCTGTGCTTTAAAAGCAAGAGGAACACGTAAATGCTGGACTTAAGAATTGAAAAGAGATCTGTAATACAAAAGGAAGAAGGACATTGTCATGGTCAAAGAAAGTATTTCTGTAGCATTGGCCAAGCTTTAACTTGGAATCCTGCACTGAGCAGCAGGTTGAAACAGTGGCCTTACTGGCTCCTTCCAAATCTGTTCTTCTATGGTTCTAAGCCAGTTCTGGTCTAGTTCACTGAATCATATTTATGCATTTTCATAATGCAAATATTCATCACCTTGTAAAACACACAAACACACTCAAGCTCAAACAATTAGACCTGGGCTACAGTGCAAACCTCCTGTTTAACTGAGCAAGAAATGTGAGACCCAGCAAGATATTGCTGGACTGCAGTTCCCATCAGCAAGCTGCCTTGAGCCCTTTGTAGGAAAAAGGCAGGATATAAATCGCAATATAAATAAATAAAATAAATAAATAAACATTAGGTATGTTGGCTTGTGCCTGATGGAAATTGCATTCCACCCATTACCCACCCCAGTCTTATGCCCTCTTCATGTGTATACAGTACTAATTGCACAGAAGAGATGAGACCACATGAATAAGATAGGTTCCAAATGTCAACACACTCTCCTCACTTCTTGATATCCATGTGCTTGAGCAAGATGCGTGATAAGGTATGCCTGTACACATGCAGTTGTACACTCCCAGAGTCTCCTTTTAGCACATCCCGCTCAACATGTGGATATCAGGAGCAGACAGACAGGGGCCCTACTTCCCTCCAAACATTTAATATTGACATGGAGGTGTGTAGGATCAAGACTTTGCTTTCAGGTGGGCTTTAGTGGTGCCCTTGCCAATTCCTGCCAACGCACTGTAAGCAAAGTGGCAGCAGAGCAGTTTGCCACTGAATTCAATGAGTGTGCCGGTAAATTTCAGCAGTGCTGCGTGACAGAAGCTGAAAGCAGCTGGATTCAACTTCAAAACAAGTTAGATTTGCCCTTTTCATCCTTTCTCACACCACCAATACTTGCTGGCTAATTGCTTTGATACTCCATCACAAAATTTTGGTGGTGCAGCAGCAGGGAGGTGCGTTTGGGGTAAATTCCCCCTACCAGACTTCCCAAAATTGCCTTGCCCCTAAGTAAATGCTTAAGCCAGACATCTCTGGCCCTCCATATGTTTCTTCTACCACCCCATCAGGCCTATTCACCATGGCAAGGAATGCCTGGTATTATCTGCAGGGAGCTAGATTGGAGAAATGTTATTTAGGACAGGGGTTTGGTGTTGCACAAGGTAGCATATTGAGGATGGTGATTTAAAAACTCTTGTTTGTTTGCTTGTTTTTCTTTTTCCCTGCCATCTCTAGTCCTAGATACTGCAGGCCAAGAAGAATTCAGTGCGATGAGAGAGCAGTACATGAGGACAGGAGACGGGTTCCTTATTGTCTATTCAGTGACAGATAAAGCCAGCTTTGAGCATGTGGACAGGTTCCATCAACTCATCCTCCGAGTGAAAGACAGGTGGGTGCCCTAGAGCAGGGGCTGCTTGGCACTCTGCTGAATTCTGTCAGGCAACAAATACCTTGAAGTCCTACCCTGCTTTTATTGTTCTGAACAATTTTGGTGTTTCCAGATGGAGAGACCCCTAGCATCAGCAGTCAGAATAGTGTGGCATAGCTATTCTGTATTTTCCTGCTAAACAGATTTTCTGCATTTTGGAAAAAGGCAGAACAGGGAGAAAACACAGAGTGGTCACAAATGGAAGACAAAACCCTCTGAATCCCCTCTGAATCCCCTATGACAGCCTTCCCCAACTTTTGGAAGTATTTGGATCACAACTCCCAGAATTCCCATCCAGGAGGACCATTGACTGAGAATTCTGGGTGTTACAGTCCAAATATATTTGGAAGACACAAATTTGGGGAAGGCACTATGAATGAAGCAGGGCAATGGCATCAGCAAAGCCTCATCTGGAAAAACCCTCAAAGTCATTCTCAGACTTGGCCATCTTACTAGTCGCATCTAACTCTAGATCCTTTTTGAGCAATTAAACTAGCATAGGTCCCATGCAGATCCTTGGTGGGATCCTGGCTGCATACAGAGAAAGAAAAGAAAGTGCATCACCTGAAAACCCATGCTACACACTGTGTGAGATTCTTTGAACAACTTTTGGGTTTTTTTAATAGTGTTGTTATTTCTGCCAAGGCATGCATGCATTTGTAATGATCCTCTCCTCTTCGTATCCTCCAGAGAATCTTTTCCCATGATTTTGGTGGCCAACAAAGTTGATCTAATGCATTTGCGAAAAATCACCCGGGAACAAGGAAAGGAGATGGCAGCAAAGCACAATGTATGTCCTTTCGTTTCTTCCCATCCTATTCTATTTTTATTGTTCTTTGGCTATTGTATGACCAGTACAATATGCTAGTGCTTAGATCGCATCTCTATAGCTTAAGGTGTCTGATTTGCTAGCATTTCCATTTAGTGTTTTGTTGGTTGGTTGCAGAGCTCAATTATCTCAAGCAGAGATGAGCTACTGCTTGGGGGCACAGCTAGAGTCCAGGTTGCTGGGATCCTAACCACTATAATCATATTTGTGATTGACATATTAACCTTGTGGTGCTCTGTGTGCTTTCCCAGAGACGTCACAAAATGCCATGAAGCTCTATTATGTTATACTAAGAGAAATAAAAAAGGAAGGGTACATTTAGCTGGTTACCAATGGCAGGGAGTTAATCGATAGGTACATCTTTTTCTAGCTTGCATCACTTTTGCCTGGTTTCTACACATAATTCTACTCAGATGACACATCAGTTGGCAAATTTTATCAGAACAAATTGCTCTCAAAACATGTTGAAATGCATACTTGCATACGCTTAAATTGTTATGAATTGCATTACAACCTTCACAGGTATTCATCCAAGATGTAAGATGATGTGAGTCCAAAAAGGAACTCACATACATTATATGCAGATTTCACTACATGGAATAATGTAGATAATGGGTGAAACTGAAACCTAGGTGGTAGACTGAAAGTCAGTTTTGCTAAGTGTGGTGGGTGTGATAGGACTGCAAGCTTCCAATGCCTTGGTACAATAGAGAAAGTTTTACTTTTATTAGGCACTGGAGAACATTTTTGGGAAGTCTCTAGTAAACAGAATGGCTCCACTTTAAAGCTACCTTTTCTTAAAATAATAGTAAGTAACCTAAAGTTGTTATGTGCTGTGAAGTCATCTCCAACTTATAAGGACCATATGAAGCGAATGCTCTCCAAAGGTAACTAAATGCCAATATGGAATTTCATGCAACTGCATATGAAATACTAACTGGATTTGCACAACAAGTGACCATTGTTTTTTGTTGCTGTTGTGCAAACCTCATTGTGGCATCTCACCACAGATTGTTTTGTCTGCAAAAGCCAAGATAAGAAACAAGGGCCTGTTGTAGGGTTTTTTATTACCATAATAATTTGCTGCACTGTCCAAACCCAGGACCAATGGGTATTTTCATTCATGGTAGAGCAATACCAGAGTCTCATGGAAAGAGATGCAATGATCAGAGTGGCTCCATTCCTCCAGTTTCTTCTCCCCATGTCTGCCTGATAACACACACATCATGGTTTGTTTTTTTTCAAAACGCTTTGCACTGTTCGTCTCACCCTCCAACTGTTCTATTTTTGTCCTTATTTCCACCTGTTATTTTATAGCTATTGAGAACCAGGCAGCAGTACGACCTCAGAGTCATCTTGTTTGTGTATCACTATCCTTGGGCTGCAGTTTTCTAAAACTGCACCCTTTGGTTTCCTGCAGTTTATTTTCATGCAACAGAATTGCTTGACTGTCTTTACAATGAAGACTTTATATAGACTGCATACTTTACAGTAAAGAATATGTATGTTCCAAAAGACGCTCCTTACTCACATGCTTTCATCTTTATGTTCCTTCAGTACTATTTTATCTACACCCCACCTCAAGAATATAGAGACGCTATCCAGAAGTTAATCTGTGTCACAGTTTCCCAAAAGTCCTCATATCTAGAAGAACTTTGGACAGCAGCTTGATAGTCATATGCATTAAGATACTGTTGTCCTTTCTTTTTAATTCTCTCTGTGTATGACAAAACTGGAGTGGGTACATTAAAAGGGCACCCAGTTAAAGTGACTGGCGCTAGACTGAGGACAAAAATGCATCCTTTTTTCATGCAGTCATGTTGTCGCAAGTCAAGCAACCCTCTTTGGTTAATGGTTTGTCTTGATAAACATGTGTCTACTTATACACCAACCCTAGCAAGTGCATACCTTTTCTAAGATATCAGAAAATAGAATTATTCTTTGGGTACATTATTAGCTATTTCACATATTTCAAATGACAGCATTTGTTTGCTCTGGTGCAAGATGCTATAATATAGCTTTTCTTGTAAATATGTATCCACACCACATACTTAAGATGATTTAAAATACATTCCTTCTCTCTGGAAATATTCTAATTTGGTGATGATGCAGCTCTCAAGAATCTGTGGTTATATGCAACACAATTAATGGACTGACCACTGGTGGATGTTATTATGCGGTTAAAACATTAAAGATCACGTTCTTCAGATCATGTTCTTCTGGGAGAGAGTGTCTTCCACTATATAGTGGAAGAAATGCTGAGGGTGATTGTTGAATTGTTAAGTTGCCTATAGTAGCATAACTCACACTGAAAGCGCTCTCATTTTTCTGAGTTTCCAGTTACTTAACTAGCTGTCTTCAGGCCTATTGGAGAAAATAAAATGATACTGTGAACTTAATACATCACATTTCTCCTTTGCACTTGTATATTTACTCCGTCTTGAATCCCCTCATGGGATCTTGTTTCATATACTATAGCTGTAAGAATTACTGGGCCTTTGTTTTCCAGATTCCTTATATAGAAACCAGTGCTAAGGACCCACCGCTAAATGTTGACAAAGCCTTCCATGATCTTGTTCGAGTAATCAGGTGAGCCATTGTACTGCCAAATTGGCCATATAGTGACATGATTTGCAAGAGGTTCATGAATTGATGGAGAAGCCAGAGCTAGTTCACACCTCACTAAACACCACTTTCAACATGACCCCATCCACAGACATCCTCTGTTTCGGAATACAAACCATGACCTTCATATATTTGCAAAGGACAGGTGCAGACTCGTATCCAGATGAGTCTCAGGTATCAGCATGGTCATTGGCTCTTTCCATGACAGATGGTCCACACAATTAGTGCCATGTGCGTTGGGTCAGCTGCATTTTAGTGTAGGGACTTTATGGAACAAGGAACATTCCTTTCAGCCCAGGACTGCTGTGGCCAGGGCATTGTATCATTAGGTGATTTCAGGGCTGAAATCCTGAGATGGTCTATAGCAGTGTCTTTCAGCATTCCTCCTCTCTGGAAACCTGTTCCACACCAATTTATCTTCTGTGGATCTTTTTCTTCTGAGGAGTTTCTGACCATGTTCTAAGGGCTTATTGGGCAATATTCTGCCAAGTAGGTCTGCCGCTTTTCTAAGTTTTGAGATGAGAACTTCTCCAGTCTTAAATTCAGTCATCCTGAAATTTGAGATTTTTGTTGAAATTCAAATGAAGTTAAGCATTTTATATATGTTGATTGGAGAAATGTGGCATTTCAAAGGAATGCTGAATTTTCTTCATATAGTAGTTTGAAAGGGAAAAATTAGATAAGTTTACATTCAATTAATAGGGAAACGGAACCAGTGCCTACTGCTCAGGTCTCTTTAGCCTTGCTGTTGCTTCCAAGCATACCTAGAGTGCACCCTGGAGTATCCCCAACAGTCTCCTTGGCTCTACAGTCATCAGTAGGGATGATGCCTATCCAACACTGTTTACATACCACCAGGACCCGTTGCTAGCACAGCAGTGAGCTAGTGCTTCTTAAACCAACTGGAAACAAGCCATTTCCAGTATAGGGCAGGGCTTGCAGACCTGCTCCATTCCAGAAGCAAGTGTTTGGGCACATATCCAATTGCTCTGGGGTGCACTGGTTTCCCATTGCACTAACAGTGGGTCACGTGGTCACAACAGAATGGACAGAAATGCATGGGCAGCATTGCAAGCAGCCAAGATGCTCTCTTACCAATAGTCTCATCCTGAAATCCTTGATAAGCTCCATAAGCATTACAGATTTCCTCAGAATCTTGCTTTAAACCACTGGGTTCCAATCCATCATAATAGCTCTTCTGCACAATCCCAGATTTAAGGACAGTCAGTAGGTACTTGCTCGAGGAGAGTGAGGGAATGAGTCAGTGGGAAATGGACAAGGCAGTACAGCCCTGCAAGAGCCTTTCTGAAAGTGCCTGTTTTGCAAGCATGTTTACACATTTTGTAAAAATTCATAGTGGTGATGGCCCAATCTAACACCAAATGTGTGAAGGATATTATCCCTCAAGCAAAATTAAGGAAAGAATCTGATTGGATCGTGTGCAAAGAAAGGTCTGAAAGTGGGCTTAGGCTGCCTCCTCTTACCAAATTTCTAGTTAAATGTTAACATGCTTGTAAGTATAGCTTTGTGCTTTTTAGCTTTCCATTACTCTTACTTGTATTGCAGGGTCTGGTTTTTCTCTTTCACTCACTCTGTTTCTCTTTGGCAAAGGTCCATAGGCGGTAGATGTCTTTGTCCATTTAAAAGTGTTGTTTATGTAGCCACTGAGCAGACAGCAGTGCCAATTCCCTTGAGAAACCGCTGTGGCGGAATGAATAAAGCCTGAATCTGCCCCTTTTCGGTCCAGCCTCCACTCTGGCTACACATTTCTTCAAGAAGTGCTTTTTTCTTTTGCTGAATTGTTACACATCTTGCCTGCTAAGTAATTCGACCTGGAAAATTTGCTTCTATTCATTTTTGCATCTGTGCCCCTCAGGAGTTGGGAAATGTGTCTAATTTTTTCTGGATTTCAGGGTGTCCCCTGCAGAGTGGTTTAGCTTTTCCATAAGTTTTTGCAGCTCTCCCGCAGCACTGGTCACACTGCATGCTGTTTGAATAGTTGATGCTTTGAGATTGTTCTTACATAAGCACTGGAATTCACTTTGATTAAGCTGAGAATAAATCTAGATAGATTTTGAGGAGGAGCTAAAAGCACCAAGTGTTGTATCCAAGTATGTCCTTCTGCCAGCAAAATGCACAGTACTAGCTGATCAAATTACCCCTTCCCCTTGCAGCCCCCAGTATACCCTCAAATCTACTCTGCTATGTCGCAGGATCCTCTAGAGCTTTTTTTTTGTTTTGTTTTGTTTTGTTTTTGGGAGGGGGCAGGGAGGTTGGGACCACAGGAACAGTGAAACTTATATTGCATGAGCAGAGGTCTGTTCATGTAAATCGGTTTTAGCCTCTGGGTATTTTTGAGACCAGTTTCTTACACACTAGAAATCTGCATGACAGTCTGTTTTTTATTTAGCAGACTGATGGCTAAACTACCATTCCTAAACAATATAAATTTCCTGCTTGTTTTAATTGATGAACAGTATGTGTGTGGGTGGGGGGGGGGGAGAGAACTAGTTCAAATGTCACTTTTGATACATTCTGCATTTTTCATTTTTTTCTCCTATCATAAGGAAGTGTAAAAGTATGGAAAGCATGTGTAATCTCTCTTGTTTTCTTTTTGCTCTGTGCTACTTGAATTGTGAGCAGATAATTGGCCCTATCAAGCTAGGGACACACACCAGCTTAATTTAGGACTTAGCCCATCTCATTTTGGCAGCACAAACAGGGGAGGAGTGCAGATGCAGCTGGAATCATTCGCGTTGCTTTCAAATCCATTTCCCCATCAGTAAACTTGGCACCGGGGACACACCAGGCCAGACTGTGCAGCCCGGCCCTTCTATATCCCATCCTAGCCACAAAAGGGCACCCAGTGTTGTGGCAAACAGGACAGGGCTGTCCAGTTCCAGTCAAGGAAGTGTCCTCCAAGCTGCTTCCCCTACTTACCCTGAGGAAAGGGATACAAGTGACTCAAAACTGGGAGAAGTGGGTTCAAATCCCCTCCTTCCTGGGTGTTTCAAGTCATTCCATGGACCTCTTGTTTGTGAGGAAAGCGCAGCGCGTTCCCACGTGTGAGCCAGCAGTCAGAGAGGCCAGTGAACGAAAGTTGGCTTTGAGGCCTGTGTTGGTTCCAGGCGGGATCAGGCCCATCTTCAGGCATTTTCCTCATGTGGGCCCTTCAATTGTCTCTTGCGTCTCCCTCCCACCACCTGAAAAGCAAACGGTGTTCATGAAGAACAAGGAAGCAGAGAAAAAACATTTTTCATCTAAGCAGCCATCCCACTCAGGGAGGGTTTTAAATTCATAGCGTAGGCCTGAGCAAGAGAAGCACTGTCTTTTTATAAAAATGCGGGTGACTCCCGAGTCCCGTTGGCCATGGCATGATTTCCCGGACTGGTCTGCATCTTCGCTAAAGTCTCCGTGGGACTGTGTCATTCTGGACTGGGATGGGGATAAAATAGCTCCAGTCTGCTCTGCGAATAAGTGCCATCAAGGTGCTTTTCTGGTTTTCCTTTTTCTATACAAGGCAGTTTCCTACACACAGTTGTTTAGGTGACATTGTGACCTTCCAGTTCTGCTTTTGTATCTTGAGAGAATTTTTGGCAACTCTTTTCAGAACAGGGAAAACATGGTATTGTAAAAGCAAAAGAAGTATTTTTTTCTCCCACTTGTGAATTCTTCCTATTCTGCTGAGCCGCCGTGCTACCTACAGGTTGTGTGGCAGAAAAGTAGGAAATGAAATGTTCTTTGTATAGCGCTCAGATCCCAGTTCTGCAACAAAACTGAAAGTAGATACATTGGATTAACAACCTATAATGAAAAGCTCCTTGTGACTCATCACAAATGCTGCATGCCTAATCAGATTTTCATGGGGTTAATACAAAACTTGTGTGATTAAAATATTGTGGTTTATTTTATTTTCCATCCAGTGAGAAATTAGTGAGGTTATGCTTCTGACCACACCACTTCTTCAGATATTTGAGGAGTGTGTGTTTTGTTTTTAAAAGAAGTGTGTGTGGGAGAAGATACATGACAGCTTCTTGCTAAAAGTCACCTACAATTCTCTAGAGACAAAAATTCTGACAAGGAAGCCAAAAACCCAACATAGCCAAATTATGGATGGTGCTAGCACTGGAAGTCTGGTTGGAAAATTACAAAAGAAAAATAAAGATATGTGTTTGTGCTTCCTACCAAATAGAAATATTTTAACTAAGGCTTTTAGAGGAATACTTGATACTCACATTTAGGAATGGGGGCAGTGCTAAATACATGCCTTTCTTTCTCCATTTATTTCTCTGTGAAGATCACCAGTCCTGGCAATCTCATTAGTTGCATGTCATAGACACTTCCCTGGGGAGACTGTGGCTAGCAAAGGTCACATACCTTCGAGCAGAAGCAGTGCCCTTTTTTAAGGGCAGCCTTCTCTTTTAATATACCATTCTGCAGGGCTTTCAACTCTGGGAGGCACCGACGTGGCAACATGGCCCTGTGTTGTAACCCCATCTCTCCTATTGCAGCATTAGCTGGGTTTTCTCCTGAAAAACCAACCATCCCGAATGGACCTCTGTGCTGTATTGCAAACTTCTTTTGCTGCAGCCTTAGTTGTAATGGGACATCTGGCACACGTGACTTGGGCAGTTTATATTTATTATTTGTTTTAATGCCACACTGATCATTCATCCAGGAAAGATGCCCATCCTTGCTTTGCTGTTGAATGCTCCAGGAAGCCTTGCTAGAATAGAGGCTCTGTGTGCCTGCCAGCACGGAATCAGCAGCATAGACTTGACTTCTACACTGTACAAGCTTTTCAGTCATTGCAAACTCTTCCGGCTTATTCTGGCTAGCAGAGAAGGCACGGACAACGAAGGGGGATTTAGCAGGTGGGAAAGCTTGATAAATGCTGCTTCTCTTGGTCTGACACCCGAACCGCATTTCAGAACCAGAGTTGTATCCATACTGCAGTGCATTATTTTACCGTGCCTTTTCAACAAATTTCTATACAATACAATTTTTGTTTGCCCCATAGATGGAGCATTGCCACTTTCTGCTTCCTGTAGGCACTGATTTGGGCCAAGTCTCTCAGGGGAGGTGGCAAAGGGCCAGCTTGAAGGTCAAAGAATGAGCTTGAAATAGGGATGAGCTGTAGATCAAGGCACACTTTGTATGTGTAAAGTCAGTTGTTCCTGGGCTGGGAAGAAGAACCCTTTGGCTGAGACCTAGAGTGCAGCATCTCACTTCTCAACCTCTTTCAAATGGAGGGCCAAGTTCCATTTCAGGAGAGCTTTTTAGGGCAGCAGGCAAAGCCAAAGGCAAAAATGGAAAGTATTTTAACTTAAACTTTTTGCTGCCAGCCACTAAGACTTTGGAGAGGTATTTTAACCTTGCAGAATGCAGGAAGACACTGAACAAAATCTGGGAATCTACCAAAAGATTTGTAATTGTGGGAAAGGAGGTGGGAGCAAGGTGTGTCCAATGGTGCCCCTCACACCCCGGCCTAAGATGTCCCAAACCTTAGTAAAATAGTAGTGGATTAGAACCACCTTGCCCAACCTGATATCCTCCAGATGCTTGGACTACAGCTCCCATCAGCTGTAACAGATTAAGAAGACATCTCCTGAAGCTTACACTCAAAAGGCATTGTACAGCTATTTCTGCTTTTTTCCACTTAACAGATTTTATTTTCTGGAAACAAAAAAGGCAAAGTGGTAGGAAACAGTGGGGGGCCTACAAGTTGAAGATGATGTTTGGACCTCCTGTAATATTCCATGAAAGAGGCACTGTGGTAGCACAGGAAAAGCCTTGTCTGGAAGCACACTGAGTTGTCTGTCCATCCATCTGTCTTTTTCTGTCTGCTGGGGTGGTGGTGGTGGTGGTGCTTAAGTCTTTCTTCCCTGCCATGTATTTTTGGATGTACATTTCTGTCCCCATATACTAGATGCAATATGGAAACCCATCTCTATTACTCTGTAGTGAAAGAAACACCTGAGGAGATGATTTTGAAATGCAAATGGTTAACAGATGGGGATTTTTCAAGATGCTACATGCAGAGAGCACGCTGGGCACCCTTTACCAGATTGTGCTAATTTAGTCTCAGCAAGGCCCCCAGTTTTGCTGGCTCTGATTAGCCAAGTACTTGGCATAATGGTTAATCTGCTGTCCCTGCAGGTCATGGCTCTGCCCCAGCTGTTAAGCAGGGAAATCCTTTCCCCACACCCCTGTCTATCAAAGTGTGGGCACACATGTGCAAATAAAGCCCTCCCTTTCCCTGCTTGTGAACAAAGACGCTCTTGGGGAGAAGGGGAAGGGTCGACTCAACCCTTTCTGCATTCAGCACTTAGCCAGTTGGCATTGCCTATACATTTGCATCAAGTGCAAGTTACTAGTTGACAGATACAGATATTCTTCCAAACAAACAATAGCTCATTCTCGTATTCATTAAATGGTGCTGGTGTTTCTCTTGTGTTCCTAAACAGGCAACAAGTCCCAGAGAAGAACCAGAAGAAGAAGAAGAAAACCAAATGGCGTGGGGACAGAGCAACTGGTTCCCACCACAAACTGCAGTGTGTGATTTTGTGACTTGTCTCTTCAGTGTTTCCTGTTTTTCCATTCCAACTTGAACCTAATTTGAACTAAAATCAAATAAAAAGGAAGAGAAACCAGCCCTAGAAGCGCTGTACCACCTAACTGCAATGTAACATTTCAAAGATAGCCACCCTCTCACAAAGGACTTGGCAGGAAGCAGAGCCGCAAGCAGTGGCTGCTTGACAAATGGTACATGATGTCCCATCAAAGCACCCTGAAAATGGGGGGCAAACTAGGAAGAGGGTTTTATGAATGTCAACCATCTCAACCATCTTAATTTTATATTGAGGGTGGGTGGGTGGGGGGAGATCTGGTTTTACCTGCAAACATTTCTAGATATGACCCATTTCTAAATAGACATGGTTCCATTTTGTAAAGTGATCGTGTGTGTGAGCGCGTGTGTATGTGTGTGTGTACACAGAGATGGTAAACACATCCTTGCTCAACAAGCACTGAGCAGAAAATAAATGCAGTGGACTTATTTTCTCTTGCACTGGACACTCCCAGATAGACTCATCCATGCCAAGCTACAACTTCATATGAAACCGTGTAGATTTGAAGGAAGAAAATGAATTCCAGCTGCTTCAGACATCATGTCAGAGGCTGGAGATTCGCCAGCTCTCCATCTGTGAACACCAGTGAAAAGGATGGAGGAATGAGGTTGGTTGGCTGGTTGGTTATCGTCGTCTTTGTTGTCAGTTCCGGGTGGGGGCAGGATTTTTGTTAGCATGTCCATGCTGCCGTGAAGGGGAGGGTGGGGGTGGGGAGGTAGCCCTTTTACTTATCCTGGAAAATATTTAAATTAAAACTTATTTGCAAATAAGAGTAATGAGTTTGGTGTTGGTTGGTTGTTTGTGTGTTTCCATGGGGGAAAAGATGAATAATTTCTTACACACACATATAAACAGAGAGGGCACTTAGCTATGAAAAGTAGCATGAAAAGGTCAATTCAGTTCTGATGCTGGGTGCCTTTAGTTTCCAGTTCTGAACCAAATCATCTTTGGGAATCAGTTCAAGCAGGAGCTGTTTTCCATTCAAATGATATACTTGAAAGTTCAAGAGAGTTTGTGTCTACTTCCTTAAAGTCAGTTCTTGGCTTACTTCTGTCTGCTCAAGCATTAAAATGCTTAATCCCATGCACACAAAACATATCTGTCCATCCTTGGGAATCTGCTTTACATTGATCACCCATCCGTCTAGCTCAAGATTCTTGACACAGACTCGGAGAAGCCCGATGGGCTTTCAGACAAGGGGCTTTTCCACCTCCAATTGGATCATTGCTGAGAATCAATTCCAGGTCCATCTGCATGCAAAGCATGAGCAATGTTGCCACATGCAGAGCCACTGGATGCAATGTTCAAATCACATTCAGTTTGCCCCTGTGCCACACAATTGTTAGTACACAGACAACATTCCGGGGGTTATCCTATGAAACACTCTAAAAACTCATTCTTGGGTGATGTGTTTGTTGCTGAGTTGCAACTCCATCAGCCCTAGGCAGCATAGGCATGGGTGGGGCACAATAGGAATTGCAGTCCAACAGACCACCCTTTTGGCTGTTGGGCAGTAAGCAAGTATAATAAATAAAACCTGGATGCCACAAGTTGCCGCCTGCTGCTGGAGAATATTGGCGAAATAGCTCTCAATAAGACAGAGAAATGCAGCCCTTCTTCAGTCCATGTGACTTGGTGGGTCAGGAAAATTGAGCCTGGACATGAGCTCCTGGAGCTCACTTATTGGGCAAGGCTCACTGCCATAGCACAGTCAAAACCTAAGAAATCCTGGCATCGAAGAAAAAGAGGGCAGGCAGAACAGGGACCACAATGTGCTTGCAGAAAGCAAAGAACTCCAGGAGATTCATTTCCCAGCAGCTCTCAGGCACTAGAAAGATGCTTGCTGCACCCAGTGCAAGGACTGACTGAGTCGCTCAGCAGCATGGCACCCGCTGATCTCAGCCCCATTGCATTACACAGAAGTGGGTATGAACTCTATGGGCTGCAGGGGCACCATTTAAAACTGCATCCCTGTGGCAAGTTCTCCTCATTCTCCTTACCGCAAGGTGAAATGACCTGTATGTGTGAGGGCAAGCCGTGCTGTGCATTATGGCAGGGACCCAGAGAGAACACGCTATGGAGATGCTGTGACAGGCAGCATCCCTGTGGTCAGGGTAACATGCTCTGTTTCACGCCCTGCTTTGGAGCAGAAGGTTGGGTCAGGAAAAGGGCATGCGTCTGCAGAGGAGATTGTAGGCACAATGTCTGGGGAAGCTGCTGAGTGCTGAGTGTGGGAGCCCCTTCACTTTCAAGAGGGTGATGTGCCAGAAAGCAACAGACACACCTGAGCAGCCAATGTCCTCCATGTTGTCTGAGAACCCTCATCCTGTGCACAGAAAATAGTTGCTATGCAGATTGCAGGGTACCACTCTATAAAACAGGCTGTTCAGGTGTTTCACCTTGCTATGTGTGATTAATCAGGTATGTGGACTATGTGGATTAGATTATTTGGATAAATTATGAATTTGAGACTTTAGGTAGATATGGATTAGATAATCTATGGAGTGGATAATTTACCAGGACTATGTGGAGAGGTCATAGTTCAGTGGTGGAGTATGCTGAAGGACCCTTGCTTTCTATCCTCGTCATCTCCAGGTAGAGCAAAAAAACTCTTACCTGAAAGAGAGCCACTGGCAGTCACCATGAATCAGAGGAAATCAGATGGGTTGGTGTCTGATTCAGGCAGTGTCCTATGTTCCTAGATCCTATGGGGAGACATAACAAGTGGGGTACCACAGGTTTTGATCCTGGGCTCAGTACTCTTCATCATTTTCATGAATGATTTACATGAAGTGCAAGGAACGATGATCAGATTTGAAAATGACACAAAATTGGGTGGGATAGCTAATAGACTGGACAACAGAAAGAAGATTCATGGTGATCTTGATAGGCTGGAGCACTGGTCTGAAAGCACCATAAAATTCAATAGGGACAAATGCCAAGTTCTTCACCTAGGAAAAAGAAACCAAATGTATCGCTACACGATGGGGAATATTTGGCTCAAGGATGATGCAAGTGAGAAGGATCTTGGAATTGTTGCTGATTACAAGCTGAATATGAGTCAGCAATGTGACATGGCTGCACAAAGGGCAAATGCATTAATAGAAGTATCATTTCCAAATCACATGAAGTACTAGTTCCCCTTTACTTAGTACTGGTCAGGCCCCATCTGGAGTAGTGTGTCCAGTTCTGGACACCACAGTTTAAGAAAGATGTGGACAGGATGGAAAGAGTTCAGATGGCAGCAATAAGGATGATCCAGGGACTGGAAACAAAGGAGTATGAGGAGAGATTGAAAGAACTGGACATACTTAGTTTCAAGAAGAGGGGAGATATGATCACACTTTTCAAGTACTTGAAAGGTTGTCACATGGAGGAAAGTCAGGATTTCTTCTTTATCATCCCAGAGTACAGGAGATGACTCAAGTTACAGAAAGCCAGATTCAAGGTATAAACCAGGAAAAATTCATTAGTGTTAGAGCGGTACTACAATGGAACTAATTACCTAAGGAGATTGTGGGCTCTCCTACATTAGAAGCATTCAAGATGCAACTGGACAGATATCTGAGAGGGATGGTTTAACTTGGAGTTCTGCACTGAGCAGGAGGCTGAATCTGATGGCCCTCTGGCCCATTCCAACTCTTTTAATCTATGATTCTGCGATGAAACTCCTCAAATTCAGGCAGTGAGATGATTCACATATAAACAGCTTTCTAAGTGCAGACTACAATTAAGAGGGCTCTTTGCAACAGCAGCTTTTAATGGACACCTGCAGTGAAGCTAGATCCTAGTCATGAAGATGGTTTTCTGCGAAAGACATTTCCACATTTCTGGTCTGCTTTTCTGGGTCCCCAGTTCAAAGAACTGCTCCTTCAGACAAAAGAGTAATTAGTATGCAGAGCTTATGGGAACAGACTCTTTGGCAATTAGGGCAAGGAGTTCTGAGGCGGAGGGAAGGTTTTTGGTGCACTGTTTGCATTTCAATAGCATGAGTGCCCTTTCCCTGGTCAGCAGCCCCAACTGCTGTGCTGTGGGAACCAGCCAAAAAGTCCAGGCAAAAGGGCTAAAGCCCTGGGCAAAAGGGCTAAAGTGTGCCCTTTTCTGTATACTTTCAGGATAAAAACTGACTTTTGCAAAGAAAAAGAAAAAGTGTGGAGGATGCAGAAGCACAAAAAGGGCAGGAAATTCATGGATTGCTGATGCTTCAGCCCCAGCTCACAGCATTGTGGAGTGGGAACAAAACACAATGGTGTGAATTGGGCACGAAGAAGGACCCTCCCTTTCCTCTCTGAACTTCCTGCCTTTAATCACTTTGATTCCAAGACCAAGTTTCTGAGCTGAATTCCCATTGCTGCCTACTCTGTTGCTTGTGCCTACCACAGTTCCTGCTGCTATGGAGGATCAGGGAAAGAAGAAGGTTTCCTGTCTTTCCTTTCTGAGCATCCTCTGGTTCCATTAAATCATGAACGTGAAGGTGTATCTCTCAGGTAGATAGAAGACTGTTCAGTGGTAAATAGTGATCAATCACAAGCCCAAAGATAACTGAAGAAAAGACTGCAAGAGATCTAGGTGTCAATCACACAGACACTTTACCTGGAGAAAATCCCATCGAGCTCAATGGAGCTTACCTCTTGAGTCAACAAAGGAATATGCCTTACTAATTGAAAGCGTGAGGCAGTCTCTTAGGAGAGCAGATTTGAGGCATTGTGAAAGACCAGCACTTCTTTAGCTACTTTTTTGCTGTATTTTTACTGCTACGAATGGGGTGAGGGGTTGGGGGATTTTCTGCCTCGTGTACCAGCAAATTTGGCTGACATTTGGCTGCTATGCACCCAGACTCTCTGGAGCATCTCAGGAAATGAAATGTCTTGGACTGAGCCTGGATTGTCCTGTAAATGGGTTAATCGGCAACAGGTCCAGAGAATGATCTGTGGTGGCAGCAGCTGGTGATGCATTTTGGGCTGCCTCTCAGGTGGAAGTGGCTGTCTAGGCCCGATCCCATGCCTTGTTGTTTGGAAGTGGTT